GTATTCAGCAGTGGCACTAATTTCTACCAATTCCTCTGCTCCCACTAGAATCTGATACCAGGTTCGACTTAATTTTTTGACCTGGGTTGGGGCCAGCTTTAAGAGTTTCATGTAGCCTTCACTACCACTATAGCTTTTGAAATACAGGCCAGTGATGCAACATGAGAGCTATTGCTCCAATTGCCACATGTTTCACTTGCCATGATGAAGTCAGGGTTGGGGGGAAAAAGAGCACTGTGATTGATCCCAGCATCCAGTTGGCATACTGTGAAGCTGTCTCCATTCTCAATGGTTCTCATTGCCTCATAAACCCAACTCTAGAAGAGACTCCATTGTGACACCTTGGGTCTCACTGATCAATGCCACCTTAGGCCCTATTTCCAGTAGTTCTAGAAATGCCTGGCTATGCCCCTTTCGCCAGTGTACAATCACCTGAGTAAGTGGCATTCGGTCTCCCAAGGTAAGGGCTAATGTGCACTAACAGTATATCCTCACTACCTCATTTTACTCCTTTCTCTTCAGGAGTCACTCACCTCTTTGGTCAATGGGACTATCATGAAGGTCTCTCAGGACCAGGAACTGAGCAAGAGGTTGTGACTTTGTACTGGGATGACCATCCTCCCACTCCTGCACTCTTGCCTTTTTCTGACTACCTTTGTGCCCAGGAGCCATGAGACATGAACCATCTTTCCAGCTCCCTGTGAATCAAGCTGCCCTGACTATCCCCGGGGTCCATTCTTGGTATTATTGGACATGTGGTGTCCTGGCATCTGTTGATTAGAGCTGTCCCCTGCCCTCTCTCATGTGGGGTTCCCAGCATTCCATGGATGGTGGTAATGAGCCCAGGCCCGGAACCACTTTCCTTCCCTCATCCCTAAAGCCTGCTGGAGAGCAACCATGGGACCTCTTAGCTGTGCCCGGGCCTCTCTCACCAGAACACTCCTGATGGCTTAGGCCAATGGTGTGTGCTCTGGGCGCTCCTGTCAAGCATGACCCTCAGACCAGTTGCCTGGCTTCTCACTTTCTCTCCTCTCTCACATGGGTGCATCACTCAACTTTTTTTTTTTCCTTCCTCAGCCACCTGCCAGACAAAGACAGGCATCTGCACTTCTCTCCATGTGAGCCCTTACTTTCTGAGAGCTACTAGGGTTCACTCTGCCAGTGAATTTCTTTCATCTCTTGGACTTCTTGCCAGAATATTAAATCCCATCAAAGGAGAAAGTACCACCAATCAGTTAAACATACTTATCCAGTCTTACATTCCATCTTTCTTTACCCAGTCCCTGAAAATGCAATCCGATGTGTATTCTCTTGGCTCCTGCCAGTACAAGCAACCTCTTCCTTGGCATATAATCTGTTTCCTCCCTTAGAAGGCTCAGCATTACCCAGTGAGGTTCTAGATTGGAGACAGGGGCAGTCATTGAGGGAGGCCCTTGTAGCTTTACTGGGGTAATAGTCTGTAATATCTACAGGCATAGAGCATGTGCTACCTCCTGCTAGGGAAGGAATAGCCACCCTGCGAGTTCTGAGGTTTCTAGCCATGCATGCCTGTGAAACCAATGTCCTCAGGTACATCCATCCCGACATTCCTGTCTCCCAGGTCATGGATCTATATTGACCTACAGGACTACACCCTCCCTACTTTTCAGAATGTAGACATCTCTGGAATTTGACACCTCTTGCAACATATCAAACCCGCAGTTGTGTCTGTTCCTCTTCTTCAGGAGC